ATCACCTTGAAAGTGGCACCAAAGCTGACTCGATCGCATATCTTCCCAAATGGATTCGAGAAAATGCGAGCGGAATTGACATTTCATGTTTTCAGTCCGCAAGTTACTCGATGTATGGATTTCTACAAAGACCAAATCGAGGCTCGATACGCAAATGTTGGGCCAACAAGACTCGTCATTGGGCTCATGGCGGAATTGATCGAGGTTATGACGTCCAGGTTCCCAGCAGAAGCTTTACGGTAAAAATGAAATATTTCCCTGTCAATAATTTGGCCAGGCATCAATTTTGCTACGCTTCATCCACTCTGTTTCAGACTTCATAGCCGAAAGGAAGCTGTGCTAGACCAGACACTCAAGTTCCTTGATTTGTTTGAAGCTCATGCAAAAGGGCTTGGCAATTTCTAAGCAAAAGTACCGCGGCCACCCTAGCCGAGCCGTCGCTCACTGAAACCCACGCAGGGTCTGCGCAGCTATTATATGGTCAAGTTTTCGGCTTGTTCGTGCTGTTTGAAGTACAAGCACAACTTTTGCGAACGTAAACAGTGAAGCACTTGTCGCACTTGGCAACAAGTCTTTCTTAAAGTCCAGTGTTTTTCGTGGCTATTGCTGTCGAGGACGCGCTCATCCGTCGTCCGCTGCGCAGATATATGAAAGCCCGGTCAAGTGATGCTCGTAAAATTGTTCTTGTACCATTATGTTCGCTAGTCTGATAGTGTGTTTTTAACTGTCCACGAGTCATTTTTTTTAAAAGACGCGTTTTGTGAGTAGCTAATACGTAAAGCATCGGCGCTTAAAGAGGTGTGCGCTCACGTCTATTGGCGTAGTAGACTACATGCAAGCGTAAATTGCATGCGCTAAATAGCATAAAATGTCGCTAGATTGCTCCAATTAAGGCACGTGATCTCTAGTTCTCTGCGCAAATCTTTGACATGTACATTTGTTGCCACTCAGAGGAAGCAAGAAGTGGTGCGTCAGAAAACCAGGCACTTTGTTGAGTGATTGCATCGTATCGTTGCCTGAAACAGCTTTATTGTGATGGTACGGAAAACAAAGAAAAACAGCTTCTTTTTCCGCGCGCTTCTTGTAAGACTGCCCGATGTATGTGAATAGATGCTGTTCAGCTTGTCGCACTGTTGACCTTGAGCTAATGTTACACGCGTGAAAAATGCGGCCTGCCGTCAGCGCTATCACTTAGAAACGAGATATTTTGCGAACATGCACGGAGATATCAATGCGAAAATATAGGGGTCACTAAGGCGAAAGCTTTAGATGCCTAAGACGTGGTCGTTTGGCATTGCCGCCATCATTTGTGGGAAGATAACGGAGGAGCGACACCACGTAAGGTTTAAAAAAAAAACTTTTGGAGGGGACGGAGAGAAACAGTACGCGTACATCGAATGAAGAAAGATAAGAAAACATAGTTTTTCACGTTCAATTCGTTTTAGGTAAATGCATAAGGTACCTGCTTGGGACGTTAAACCCCACATATCAATCAAATCAATGCATAAGGTACCTGTGAGCTTTTGTTTTCAAGAGCGGTTTTAGAGCACTGTGAGTCACGGCTTACATTCATTGCCCCAGTTGGACGGCGCAAAAGGAAAACATTTATTCTGGAGGCAAACCCCACGTGTTATTCAAGCGCATGCAACTCTCACAATTTCGCGTACTTTCGCGAATAACTTTTATGCCAAATATTTAGCAGTGTCGTGCTTGTCGGCAATGTTGAATGCGTAGTTCTCATTATTCGTTCAGTCGTTAGCTTCGGCTGCAAATGAGAAGGGCAGTCTGCAAATACTGACGGTACTTCATCGTCCTTGAGCCGCCGTTTTTTCCCCTTTCTATGAACTCCTCTGGTCACAAATGGCAGCTACATACTCGTGTATAGTTTGAGGTTGTATTAGGCGACCAAATGTCCCACCTGATCGCAGCAAGCAACCTCTTCCGCATACCAGCGGCCGCTTGTATTTCATGAAACGAAAGCCTGTCAATTTTTTTTCGCTTGATTTGCACAGCAGTACGTAACATTATGACATACCAGGGCACTCGGAGCTTGTGGTTGCGAATGGCTGAAATAGAAAATAAATCACGAATATTATCAAATTCAAGTGCATTTTTCGCACCGGCATCGCGGTCCGATAGACGGAATTCGGTATATGTACCCATTCAAGCCTTCGATAAGCACGAATGCACTTCAATTCTGATGTGAACGCGAATTCATGAGCTTAGCAATACGTGCGGACGTTGAGGGCCAGCTTCCCGTAGTCTACTCGCACAGCGCCGCCACACGGCAATGGCAAGCGACAGCGGAGCGCGCGCTCGACGGCCGCAGGAGAGCGTTCGCCCTGGCACTGAAATATATATATATATATATATATATATATATATATATATATATATATATATATATATATATATATATATATATATATATATATATATATATATATATATATATATATATATATAGGAGGCGCTGGCCCGGTTTGCCACCTCCTGGCAATGCCACTGCCCTCATTCTAAAAACTGCCTAATAAATCGCACTACATTCTTACACACCTAAAAGCACGTTATTCTTATTGAATGACTAATAAATGTACAGTGGAAGCTAAGTGCCTTCAAGCCGCCCATTCCATCAGGAACACTTCTCAACGCTATTGATTCGTCTCCTGTGGTACTCCACTGATATATCGAAAGGTAACGATACTAAATTATAATTGATTGAATTCAGTGGTGTAACTGCCAAAATCACAATATCATCATGGGTCACTCCGAAGTGGGGAGCTAACGTTCTTTAACGTTCATCTAAGTACGTGGGTGTTTAAGGGGCGAAGCTCCTGAAGTCATGGGTTTGTCCATGCATATCTGCGACCGGTCCGTAACCACCTAGTTGTATGGCTCACTTAGCAGGTGGCGCTAGTGTGACAGACAGACAGACAGACAGACAGACAGACAGACAGACAGACAGACAGACAGACAGACAGACAGACAGACAGACAGACAGACAGACAGACAGACAGACAGACGGACGGACGGACGGACGGACAGACGGACGGAAGCACGGGTGGACGCTTCGCTCCACTCATCATCTTTCACTCCGTGGATATGCTGTGATGTTTCTTTTTTTTCCCCTTTTACCATGTTCGAGAAGCGCAGCCCTTCAGCCGGATAACTATATTCGACACCGTCGCGCAGTGGTTCTAAGAATCGAATACGAATTGACTGCCTCAGATCGACTGTTGAATATGTTTCGAAACTTCGACTACTCATACACACTATATAAATGTACATAATTGCAGAGTCTTTCTGGTGTTGTGAGTACCTCAATGTGAATCCTTTTTTATGGAGATATCTCTTCACGATGAGTATTCACGTAGTTGAAAACTATTACATCAGTAGTTCTCAGCTCCGGGACTTATTGTGTACCGGAGGAACTGATTGGACGACCTTTCGCAGTGAGAGAAAGCGGGGGGAGAGGTAGTAAACTAAGACAGCGTGCAGCGTGAATTAGGCGTCTTTTATTTTCACATGTCAAAGAATGGTCAAACTGAAGTTCTATCTTGTCAATAAACTGTGAGGTCTGCAGTCACATTCAACCCGTTTCTAGCTATTGGCTTTTCATACTATCAAGCCTGGAAAAAGCAAACTCGCATGCTTATGTGACATGTCCTCAAACCTGCAACAAAAACTTGAAAACTAACTCATGAAGGATAAACATAATTCGTCTCCTCCGCATTGCAAGCGTGTTATGTAATGAAGCATAAAAAAATCCGAAGGGGCCGCTTTCTGGTTTGTAGAGTACCTTCAAAAAAGCAAGTTTTGTGTGGTGTGTGTGTGTGGGGGGGGGGGGGGGGGGTTGAATTCCCCAAAAACGACCTCAAAAACGTGCCTCAGAAAAACATTTGACAACTTGAGGTAAGCGACGTTTGATGCGCATCGAGTATTATTAAATTCGACTCCAAACACTATTAGATACGGTTCATTTCTAATGACACCATGATTATACAAATGCACATAAAAGTAGCTGTCATGGACGGTCCCCTGTGGTATGAAGAAGCAAACAGCTAGCGCGTGCACAAGATGCACGTGCCCTGACGTAGTAGCTAGTGAAAGAGGACGACGATGTTGACAGAGAGACTCTCGTGCCGTTTCGCCTGTGTGGCGTTTGTAGCCTGAGTGGCTTGTGCGTTTCTTAAGAGTTAATTAAATTATTATTCTTCTACAACACCTCGTGTGCATCAAGGACGCCGCGAAGACAATTCGTGACCCCATTTTCTGTTTTCTTGTTTAAGGACGCCCTCAGAAGATGTGCGCACCATCTGTAGTGAGAAGACCAGTTTAATGTTTAAGCTTCGGGCACATGTTTATCAAGGCTCTGTATCAAGGCAAAAAAGAAAGGAGTTCTTAAGAGGAGTAGTGCGCGAGAAACACGCGCCTTCAAATTTTGCCGCGCGAATACAGCGCAGCGGCCGCCGCTTTGATAGGGCTTCACGCGAGTCTGATTGGTGGTATGTTCACTCTTTTCCCCAGAGTTAATCAATCATATGAGTTCCGGAACTCCCCATAGGCTCCATTTATCAAAATCTACAAGCGTCATTGGCTCACCTTGTCGAGAGCAAACTGGTTGTCGCGCCTCCTGTTAATGAAAATACCCACTATTTAACGCACTATTTGTGTTCTATATTGTTGTTCTCAGGTAGCGCAAACGTCAGCTAACTTCCGAAAATTTGGGCCAACTGCGTGTCCGCATTTAGAACGCACTTTATCTTGTATAACTAAAGAACTCATTAACTTTTCCTTTCCTTTCTTTTTTTTTTTTATATTGCAACGTAACTTACGTCACTGGTTTATGAAAATATACGTCACCGTTTGTGCGTGGTGGGGGAGGTCTTTCGGCATTTCCGGTTTGGTGCGATTGGTGGTCCGCTGCGCGGGCATGCCCGAACACGTTCGAGTGCCGGCCGGCGTTTGTCGGCTGCATCGGGGTTTCGGCTGTTGCTGATGCAACGGCGCGATGACTCACGTCGAGGCGTGGGGAGCCGAATACGGTGCACTAGATGAATATATTTTTGAGCTTCCAGGCCCAGGTGACGTTTGGCAGGAACAACAGAACGCTATCTTGTGGTCCACGAATTCGCGCGAAGAGTCGCCCCATGGAGATATCGCAATGCAACTGTTCAATAACAACCTCCTGCCGGGGACCACGGCTCCAAATACATCGAGCGTTAACCAGTGTGTGAATGAGTGGCCCGGTGACTTCGGATTCAGCGCCGTAATCGCGAGTACACCGAAAGCCGGAAAAAACGTAAACTGGACGTATTCCGAGAAGCTTCGCAAGCTTTACGCTGTCGTTAACGCAGCATGCCCCATTAAGTTTGTCACCGACCGAGCGCCGCCTGAAGGTTCGTTCGTCTGTGCTGTCGCTGTTTTTCGAGAATCCGAGTCCAGGCGAGAAAATGTATTGCGGTGCCCAGCGCACCGCACGCCTGAAGACGCGCTCGACGCCGGCGCGCGCGTGGACCAGTGGTTCCACTGTGACCACCCGCAAGCTCAAAACTGCTGCGACGATGCCCAACGGTGGGCGTTACTGCGTACGCCTGCCGTTAGGGACGGAGCCTTTCAGCCTGACCTTTGGCTGCCGAAACAGCTGTCCCGGAGGACTTCGACGAAGGGCTACCGAAATGGTATTCCTGCTGCAATCACCCGAGGGCCTGGACTTGGCACGCAGCGTTGTTCAGGTGAGGCACACATATGCGCGCAGCGTCTGCATGTGTCGTTAATTTTAATGCTTGTGGAGCAGGTGAAGGTTTGCGCCTGTCCAGGGCGCGACCGAAGACACGATGAGCAGCAGGGCGAAGACGAGAGCGCGCAGAGCAGGCAGCCCGCGCCGCTTTGCCGTCAACGAGCATGCATCGAGACACCGACGGGTCAAGCTCGGACAGCGGAGGAGAAGGCCGCGGCGGTGCCCTCTTACTACGCGTCAAAGGTCGAGAAATGTACAGATTTTTGTATAAGCTTCACAAGTCTCTCGAGATCTCGCATGCAACGAATACATCAGAATCAGATGATTAACCAGACGAGTTAATTGCGTCATGTGCGCTAGAAACATAGCGAGTCAAACAAGTATGAGTCACTTTATGCACTCGTAACTACCGAGTGACGAACATATCCTCAACTAAATTCCGTATCTGATGTAATCGGTGCACTCATGAGTGATAGTTGGATGAAGAGGTCAGCTGGCCATGTGCCAAAATTGCGTATCCCAATTTAAATGCGTGCAGTGCATGTATGCTTGACCAGGTGAACCAGTGGAGCTTAAATGCGCGTTTTTACGCTCACATTTTACACAAGGGTCAATCCATGCCAAACGTCCCAACCATTTTGGCGACCATCTCAAATGTAATTGAAAAAGAAATTGTGCCGATTTATTGCATTGTAAACAGTGAAACGGTAGAATATTTCCGAGAGAAAACAATTTTTTTTGGTCACGTGGCTGTCTTATGAACTTCCTGGAATATCGTTTTGGTGTTGTTTGTGGAAAAATTTATTTTAAAGGTACCGCTCTTTCTTTCTGTGCCAAATTTGGTCTACACGTTAAATGACGGTTCTTGTGTAAGTTTTGTGAATCTCAGTAGTTGCGGAATTTTTGTGGCACAATCGCCTCCAAAAATGTACCCAAAATGTGTCATACTTGCATTTTTACTATTACAATACTGCACTTGGTATGAATATGTGAGTAGAAAATACTTTCTTCACAGAAGGTATATTTTGAGGAAAAAATATTTTTCGACATCTCAAGCTGCTAAACTTTATGGCAAAAATTCACAAAATTGGTCATATTTTTCTGTATCGAGATGCAATTTTCACTATGTGGTGATCCAATTAAAAGTCAATTTATACTTAAATTGAAAGCAAATAAACTGCTCTTTTCGTATAGCAATTCTCATTATTACATTTTTTTGTTTTAAGGAGAAAAATAATTTTTGAACTTCCCCATTGATGGCAATAGGGAATTTAAAGGTGGCACCTTTCGTACGACCAAATGAGAAGATGGGCACCAATGGGAAAGTTCAAAAATTATTTTCTTCCTTAAAACAAAAAAATGTAATGGTGAGATTTGCCATATAAAAACTGGTTATTTCCTTTTGATTTAGCTATAAAGGTGATTTTTAATTAGACCACCACATGGTGAAAATTGCATCTCAATGTAGACAAAAATGATGAATTTGTGAATTTTTCTCGTAAAGTTTAACAGCTTAAGAGGTCTAAAAATAGTTTTCCCCCAAACTATACCTTCTGTGAAGTAAGTATTCACTACTCACCTATTAATACAAAGAGCAGTATTGTAATAGAAGAAATACAAAGATAAGACATTATGGCTAAATTTTTGGATGCATATGTGCCAGAAAAATTCCAATAATTATACTCAGCTTCACACAACTTACAAAGCACCTTTACTTAACATGTAGACCGAATTCGGTACAGAAAAAAGTAGCAGTACCTTTGAAATGAATTTTTCCATAAAAAATAACCAAACGATATTCCAGAAAGTTCATAAGGCAGCCACGTGACCAAAAATTTTTTTCTCTCCAAAATATTCTAGCAGTTCACTGTTTTCAGTGCAGTAAATCAGTCCAACTTTTTTTTTTTAGAAGGTCGCCAAAATGGCTGGGACGTTTGGCATGGAAGGACCCGCAAGCATTTTTACAGCAGTGAAATACAGCCTTTGACTGAGTCGTGAACTGTGCAGTTGTGTGTATGCACTGTCACAGGCACCACTCAGTTGTGGGCTGCACAGCAAGGCCTCAAGCTTGTTGCTTTTATAAAACACATCTTCTGCAAGCTGCACGAGTTATTGTAATATATGACTTTATTTTTAATCAGGCTGCCACGATTTTGTGCCATCCTGCGAGGTGACCACTTTGAGCATTCACTTGTCGCTCATATGTTCAATTTTCGCATCAAGTTCACTTTTTCTCCTAAGAACATTTCTCAACCAATGGTGCCTTCAAGTGTAAGAGCAGGTGTGAATTTAGTCACCTAATGTTGACCTAATAGAGTATAATTTTTAAAGTGGTCTTTGCCAAATAACATTTCATTAATGAAGTCACGTTCATGCTATGTCTTGATCGGCTGTTATAGCTGCGGGAACACACCTACGTCTGTAGGGGGGTGTTACAATTCATAGTATGTTCACGTGTCTATAAGAATGAATGGAAGTGAGTGTACAATGTGTGCCTGTATGTGTGAGCTGTTAGTACCTTGGTTTTTATAGTTAAATCAATTGCTATGAATATAAAATTTACTATTTGTATTTAAAGTTGAATGTTTTAGCATGAACACATATTTGAATTGAGAGCAGTGTGTTGCTTAGAAAAAAAAGTTGCGTTTGGATGCAATGTGTTTTTATGCACTAGAATTTTCACCAATGCCTTTTTTTCTGACAAATTTTGCATGCCTGTTCTGGCTAGGACTGTAGTGCCTTATTTAGAATTGTGTACATGCTGCAATTTTATATTTAATAGCTTGATGCAACCTTATGCATGAACAATGTGGTATTATAATTTTATATAAGCTTTTCCATTGCCATTTTACAATATCAGTATCTGTGATACAGTGTTGATAAGCTCATGACATCGTTATCTCAGTGCAATATTGCACGTCATTGATTTAAATGTTGTCTTGTGAGCGTTCTTATTTTTTCTGTACTTTGTTATTCATCTTTTCTCAACTTCCTTGCACAACTTGGTACTTAGTTCCCATTTTGTGATGTTTGATAAGTTATTGTGACTAGCCTCACCCCTATTTACTTTTTTGCTCACTTGCTATATTGTAGTGCTTGGCAAGATGTTTTGTCACATTCCTATGTATCCATGGCATTTGGTTTGATCCTGTGAAAGTAATATCAATAATAAAAAGGAATGACCAAGTAGAAACCCTGACAAAGACCTTTTGCACTTTTTTTAGCTTAACCATGATGCTGCAAAGCCCCTTATCTGATATGTGGGTGAGCATGTAAACATTAATTTATTGGTAAGTAGTGAAATATTAAAATTTAATACACTATATTGCATGGAACACGTGATACTATTTTTTGTTTTCTTGTTATTTGCTTAAGTAGGCATTTTTATTACACTTTTTTGAAGAATTGAAGCTGGGCAAAAAAGATCCCATGAGCATAGTCGGCAAAACTTGTGGAGCTCACTCAGACTCATTCATGAAATATAATTTGAGCCTTGGACTCACTCGGACTCAGACTCGCAAAAATTTTCCTGAGCCGGACTCACTCAGACTCTAACTCACCAAAACGTTGCTCGCCCTGACTCACTCAGACTTAGACTCGGGGTTTGATCTGAGTCTGAGTGAGTCCCAGTAAGTAAACTCATGAGTCTGGCAGCCTAGAATTAGCTTCTCTGACCGGGGTATAAACGCCCTTTAACACCAATATCTCTCTTAATCGTTGCTCTTCTTGGTGCCGTTTCACAAAATATCTTTAGAAACGAGTTCCGAGTGCTTCCAGTCCAGTACAGTCATTTTTCTTGTAAGAGATGACAGCATAAGATATAATCATCAAGAAATTTTCTGGAAAAGCTGGTGAAGGAGGTCAAGGCACCACCCTACGTAACTCACTCCTCTAATTAATAGATATTGGAACATTGTATGAAGGACACTGCTTTGGAATACCTGTGAGTAGACGTGAGTACAACGTAAGGCTGATAGTAATGCTGAAGATAACTAGATAGGACCTTAGATCGGCAAAAGAAAGTGGAACTCACTCAGACCAACTCAAGATATATATTTTGCACTTTGGGCTCACTCGAACTGACAAAAATTTTCCTGAGCCGAACTCACTCGGACTCATACTCATAAGAACTTTCTTCAACCGGACTCACTCAGACTCATGGCTCGATCCGAGTCTGAGTGAGTCGACTCATGAGTGAGTTCACCGACCTATGCCCGTCAGTACTAAAGAACATTTGCTTCAAGTGTCATATAGAACACCAAATATTCTGTCTAAAAAGTATATTAAGAGTACGAAAATAGAGGAATCCTAAAGGCATACTATTTACAATAATACTTTCAGAAGTAATGAGTGGCACCTCAGTTTGAGCAATCAAATCAATGGCAGTAATATAGCAGAAAGCAGCTAAACATTCTAAAGGTAATCATGCACCGAGTGGCAGCCAAGTATACGAGAATCCATGGGCAAGCACGGCACAGTGGCTTTTTTGTTATCTCTGCTTCAATTGACGCACTTGTGCTCACGTGCCACTGTGTAGCCAAGAAAAACAGCCTTTTTTTTTTGTTGCAGTATAATTGTTTTCTTTGAATCTCTCGTTTATTTCTAGCCTATTTCATTTGCAAAAATAAGCCCAGTGGTTTTATATGTTGAAACAAGAATGATTATGAGGCACACCGTAGTGGAGGACTGTGAACTATGACAGTGTAAAATTTTTTTCAATGTGAGATACCGACTATGGCGCCAAAGCTGCTATGACATCATGCTGCTAAAGTTGACACTCCTTCAATTTCCAGCCACAAGAGCAAAATGCAACAATACTTGTTTACTTAGACTGATGCACACATCAACCCCAGGTGTTCAAAATTAATTTGGCCCTCCACTATAGGAGGTCTTATAGTTGTATCATTTTGGCAAGCAAAGCCCTTGCATTTTCTGAATTTGATTTTTTTAGTTGATGAAGGCTTGAAGTAGACAGAACAAAGCCACCAACATGGGTGTTAGCTTGATACTGTTTTTTTAGCAATCATAGTTCACGTGTGCACATGGCCAGAAACGAATATGCATAAAAATCGGTGATCAAGTCTGGTATGTATTGAATCACAGTAACTGAGATCGTTAAGTAAAACCGAGCATTTGTACTTTATCAGAACATATTCTTGCAATTCCACATTCTTCATATCAAGACAGGGGTTAGCAAACAGTGCCCATGTGTCCTGCAACATATACCACTCATTTTCCTATGTGTCCAGCAATGCAATGTACTACAAGGTTCATATGTTCATATAAAAAAAAAACTTTTTCTTTTTTTGCTAAAACTGATCGAAGTGGTTGGGTTTTGAGAAACACCATATAAGGTCTGCGAATAGATTTGCACCAGTTTGAATATTTTCTCGCACACCTCAGTCATATGATTAGCTTTGGATTCTGCCTCTATGGCCAATTATTACATGCATGACATGCAATAAAGTAGCAGACTGCGGTAGCTACTACTTTTCTGATCTTGGAACTTCCACTTGCATGCTACATTTGTGTGTATGAGGCCACTACATAATACAGCTTTTAAAGAATGAGCACCTGGGATGCTAAAGCAACCATTCTTCATGGCTCCCTTATTGTGCAAACTTTTCTCGTAGACTCCTTCTTACGAACTTGTTTCCCATTATAGCAGGTCAGAAGAGTTAAGCTCGTCCTGATCGGTCGCCGTTCGTGTGCTTCTTCGGGCTACTGTTTCAAATTATGCTCTACCAACTAGCCCATCAGTCTATCCTTTTGAACTAAATTTTGTTCTAGACATGCAGTAAACATTGAGCCTTTAAATTACCACATTTTGGTTGCATGATTATTGCATTTATATTGTGTGCCACCTCAAATACAAAGTTAAGAGGCATCCAGCATCCCTAAAGTCTACACCCGCTTTACATTTGTGGCTTTTATAATCATTTCTCTCTAAATGGGTAATCGATAATAATAATTAATAGGGTTTAACGTCCCAAAACCATGATATGATTGTGAACCACGCCATAGTGCAGGACTCCAAAAATTTTGGCCACTTAGGGTTGTTTAACGTGCATCTATATCTAAGTACAGGGGCCTCAAACATTTTTGCCTCCATTGAAAATGCAGTCGCCGCATGAGGTTTGATCCTGTGGCCTGCGGCTCCAGTGGAGCACCGTAACCACTAGACCACCGTGGCGAGTATAGTAGACAATCATTTTGTCAAGGAGAGATACTGGTCTATTTGCTTTATAAGCTAGCAAAAAATATGCTAGCCAATCATAATTCCTTGCTTTTCATACGAGGTACTGTACCCCCAATTTTCTGCCCTCATACTCACCTGTATGTATTATACAACAATTACATGCTTCACATGCCCAATTACTTTGACTCTAGGTGCCCTTCACTCTTATGACCCGAGTGAAACTTTGACACGAACCCATATCACGAAAAAGTTTCAACTTGCTTATCCCAGTGCTGATCTATGTACAGCCGAACCACATAAAACCCTTATGAGTTACAGCCAAAAACTCCATCCAGGATGTCAAAAATGCATGGGCTCTGTATCGAAGCGATTCACAACCACTTTCTATACCAGTTTTCTTTGTGCCACAAAAAGCTTACCGATTAGAGTCTAATCATGGAGAGGTAACATGCAAAATGCCGTGAAACGTTTATCAGAAGTTTTCTATATGCAGTGCCAACGAAGTCATACACACAAATGCTTCAAACAATCGTAGGTCAGTGCAATAGCGGTTTGTCTGTGTGCTGCATATGCGTGCACCTTACGTGCATGTGCAGTGGTTCAACATTTTCTACTACTAGTTCATACAAAAGGGAGCACTGCTTTTCAGCATCAACTCCTTTTACTTTATAAGTAGAGAAGACCAGACTATAGGCAAGTGCCTATTTTGTGTTTTGCACTCCCATCACCCCCCCCCCCCCCATTAATATATGAGCATGAATCAGAAGTTAAGGACTTCTCTTTAATTTTATAGTGCCCATAAATGCTTAGAAATGCCTATTTTCAATATGCATCTATATGAACACTATTTAACCTAAATTTTTGCATTGAGGTGCAGTTTGAAACAGTTATTCATGTTACAGGGTACCACCGGCTATTCAAAACTCTATGGATTCAGCCTACCGTAAAATGCTGAGCAATTGCCCCCATTATGGTGAAGGATAATCGGACTAGATTTGGGAGAGGGGCGCTTGCTCGGTGCCGGACCAAAATTCAAAATGGCTGCAGGAGAGCCGCTGAAGATTTTACAAAATGACCATCTATGTTTCTAATGATATGCTTTACTTAGAAAGCATTTCATAAACTTTAGATACGCATTAGGTTTACTCATTTTTGCGGTGCTTTTACACTACACAAGTGATGCTCGCCATGAAAAAAAAAAAAACGTGGCTGCTGGGGAGGACGGGTAGTGGGAGAGGGGTGTTTGCTCGGCATTTTGCGGTACTCCTCTAGTTCAACCAAGTGCAGCAGTGAAGTGGAACACACTGGACAGCATACGCGGCCGTACTGACATGGCGTGAGCCACAGTTGGTGAATGTGAACTGCAGTTAGTCATCACGGAACAGGAGTGGGAAGAGAAAGGGTAAGAAGGAAAATGTGGTCTGCACAAGGCTTTTGTTTTGTTTATAATTTACGTTTTAAAGTATTCACTACCGGGAGAGAAATCGATTCAACATGACCCTACCAATGGAAGGCATTCCTCCCTTCTGGTCTTAGCAGTTGGGCTATCTGCTCCTAGCCTGCCCTTCACAGTCATGCCAAAATTAAGGAGCTCAGAAGCATCTAGAACCAAAAGTGGACACTTAACTTGCCATGCTATAGAATAAACGCAGAGACAGTGCTCTGCGAACCATGTGGGCCAAAGGACACCCCCACGGCTATGTTCCAACTGTTGGTGCCTTTGTCATTAAAAACGATAACATTTCTTGCTTTCTTGTTGTAGATACAAGTTGCACACGTCCTTGTTTAAAGTTATTTGCATATATGTAAAAATTGATTGTGCCAATATTTATGATGTTTGAGGCCAAAAATGTTGTCTGGCCTACCCATTTTCAGCACCTTAAATGCACTTTTTTAATGCCCAAATATCCCATAGTAGTAAGAAGCATACTTTAAAACAGAGATGCCTTATGATATATGGACAGTAAATTTAAGCATAATTGTTGTGGAATATAAACAGCAGACTTCATACAGCAATTTGAACAACTCATTCACTACTAAAGTTTGTTTGCCAGGTGACACATCCAGCTACCGTTTCATTCATCAAACGCAATTTAATAACATGGATTCTTTTCAAATCATGAAAAGAATGTTCAGTTCTAAAACTAATTCACAGTTTTTGTACTTCCACCAGTGTTTTCTGACACATTCTGGCTGGTTGAAGGACCTTTGAAGTTTCCATCACTTCAGTCAGAATTTTGAGGTATTAAATTCACTGCATAAAAAAATTGTATATCATGTTTTTTGTAGTTAAAAAGCGATTTGAGCAACATCTGAAGTCTCTATATGCTGACTTTACACTTTTGCTAAATTGCTGTCAATATAGCTATTGACTGAAATTGCCCACACAGGCCATACCATGGAAGTTTAGCGACTGCAACGTTCTGTTGCCGAGCAGAAGGGTGGTAAATTTTATTCGCATCTGTTGTAGCAGCATACTCACAGGGTCAGGTTGCAAAAACGATAGTCCTGAATTAATCCACAACCTATCACCGAGTTGCTTCACATCACTATTGAGATTTGGTATGCTAAAGCTCGATATATGTATTAACCGTATCAGGTTACCAGGCATAGTGATTTTCGTTGAGAGGCAAGATGACTTAAGGGTTTCATTGAAATGTTGTGAAAGGCTCAAAAATGATGCATGTAAAATGAAAGAAGCTTAGTTGAGTTAAATGTGAAGGTGCTTATGAGTTAGATGGCTAGGGCTCTATGTCAAGGGCTCAACCAACTTGTGCCACCAGCTGGACATGCATTAGAAGTGCTAGTACAGTAAAACTTTATATGAATGAACTTCAAGGGACCCCAGAAAAAAATTTGTTGAAGTGGAAGTTAAAATGGAAGAAACTTGAACCCTTTTGATAGCAGTACAGATCATTTGAATGTGAATATCTGCTTATTTAGCATGTTATGAAGAATGTAGTAATATTCTGCTGCAGTTGCACACTTAAAACTGCGGTGGTCATGAATTGTCGCTGTGTCCAAGCTCTCATGAACACTCTGCCCGGCAGCTAAGCACTTCACTATTTCCGTGTACATCAGTGCATGTACGTCTTCAGCTGAAGTTCGGGGTGCATCCTCTACAATGGTTCCTTCTTCCTCCCCTTCTTATTTCCGAGGGAGGACGAAAGCTACAATCTCTTCTCAAGGCTGATTGGCACATGTCTCAACGCTAGAGTGACAAGGTAGCATAGTCTTCAAAACAGAAAGTGCAGTTTGTACCCATTCCTTAAGATAATATCTGATCATTATAATGCCAGAGCCATTGGATATCACAAAATGGATTTGTAGAACAAAAATGTGTATCTCACCAAGTTCGTTAAACTGAAACACTTTAGCATTGCATCTTAATGGCACTTTAGCAGGAGATTTAAAAGTTTGTACCACAGAGTAGTTCATTTAGCCAATGTACTTTCAAACTTTATCAACATAACAATGGCACCAACAAAAAAATTCCAGCTGTGCTAATACCAAAGTTTGCGTGTATGAAAACAACTGCGCAAGGGCTAATAACCTACTAAATGTTGAGAGCCCCACTAATATCAACAAGGTTGTAAGAATAAACAGTTAGGCGAGCTGGTTACAATTTAGGCTAAAGCGCATTCCAACAAGAAAAGGTCATGACTAATCTGCAATGGTGGCTGTGGAAAAACAAGATAACAGTAGATGAATTCACAAAGCCTTTACCTTGTTCTCTTCTTAGAAAGTATTAGCAGAGTATTGCTTAGTTTGCATAACGAGCTTGATGCCTGTGTCGATCTTGCATTTTTTATCAAGTGCGACTACCACGGCCAGCGTTGAGCTTGCCCCTGCTGGCATGAGGATTATGTAGCAATTGCATGTATAAAAATCCTATAAGTGCCGCAGTCAGAGCAATGAAGATTAATTTATAAACGATTAGTAAGAGCTCTCGGTGCCCCACCAGACGAAATAACACCAGCGAGACTGGTAGCATCTCTTGAGTTTCCTTGTGCACATGAACATGCTTTGAGATGTCCATATTTCAAGAGGTGGCCCATCAATAAACCATGTACTTACAGTACCTTTGTTCCACAATACTTTGGTGGATGCAGAGGGGATCTCTAGCCCTTTGCACACTCTTTACCTATGTCCCATGCTCATTTTTGCACTTATTTACCTAAGTTACTTTCTAGGATTAAGCATGCACAGTAGCTCACACCAGTCTCTCACTTTACCAGAGGCAGCTAATCATAGCACCGCAAACCTTTGTCAACCCTGGCCAGGATACTACATTTATATTCTTTTATATTGCATTGCGTCAGTTTTGTCAAGTGTTAACCAGTCTGACTGCACCATCCTTTGGAGCAGTTACGTCGGCAAGATAAGCAAGACTAGCAATATTAGTACATAAAAATTGGGTACCCAAGTTGCGAGTTTCTTGGATATGCACACACTTTTAAAAAAGCACATGCTTGTCCAAGAGTGGCTTGCCTTTGGCACAAGTTCACTGGTGTAAACCAGAAGGTACAGTACAGACAAAGCTTTGCATACCCCCTTTTAAAACTCGAATTTTAGTATTCCCAAGATTCTGCCTCTGGCTACTTTTCAAAAAACATTGTCTTGAACTTAGTCTGTATAGCAGCAATAAGATTAACAAAATATGCACTAGCAGGTAATCACACCAGAATATGATCACAAAAGTTTTGTTTGGCAAGGTTTATTGCAAGGGTCAAGAAACTGCTCCAACTAACTGAAAAGCAATCATGTTTTGTATAACCTATGACTGATTGATATGTGGGGTTTAACGTCCCAAAACCACCATACGATTATGAGAGACGCCGTAGTGGAGGGCTCCAGAAATTTCGACCACCTGGGGTTCTTTAAGTGCACCCAAATCTGAGCACACGGGTCTACATTTCAGTCTCCATTGGAAATGGTAGAACCTATGACAATGGTACATTTACGTAATTCCAAGTACACAGTATTTTTGCATTTAAAAGGGTACTGAAAAAAAGTTTTGGCCTCATGTTTTTTAGTGCAATATGTTGCTGGGGGCCTATTAGCTGTAACACGACACATGTTTGCTGTAGTGCGTGACAGATCATTAGTTACAGGCTCTTCATTACTGACCAGTCTCAGTTTTGGTTTGAGAGAGCTCCAAGAAAGAGAAGCAAGTGGGTGCAACTATTACCACGTAGCATGTGAAACACCCGACCACGTCAGCATACAGTAACTGTGACGCACTTCCGCACAGTCCGCATCAAGAAGTCTTCTCAAACAGGAAACGGGACAGCAGGGTCGCCAGACACAAAACATTTAACGCATGCACCACAAACTCAAGAGGAGCCGCCGAGTAGTAGTATGCTGGAGCGAATGCAGCTCAGAAGAAAAATGGTATCTATGACATCATCATAACTTGTATTGACTGCTGCGTGGTAATGTTAGGCAAGTACGGGGGGACACTACAGAGTCACTTTTGAGGATGTAGATTATGCATGCAAACTTCATGTAAAATACCGTACAAAATATATTTCCCGTTGACATTGTGACGGAGATGAGATTGAGGTTTATTGAAACAGCTGATCGTCCGCCAGACGACATGGCGGATGAGTACCACGCACCAGCTCTACGTTTTCTCGTCGTCTTTATCTTCGGCGACCACCACCCTCGTTCATGTCTATGTTGCACCGTAACATCACCCTCCCGCGGCGGAAGCGCCATCGTGGCGCTTTCTAAGGCAATGAAGAGCTAGCAGGGCAATATAGTTTCAGTCTAAAGACGTGTTTGATGTCTGTCTGGGGTGACGTGGTCGAATAAGCCGAGTCCACAGGTGCGATCTCATAATTGACGTCGCTAAGTCAGTGGAGTACACTCTGTAGGGGCCGTTGTAATGGGAGAGAAGCTTCTCGGATGAGCCGACTTGGCGGCAGGGTGACTAAAGGAGTACCGAAGATCTTGGTGTGAAGTTGACGCTTCGATGTCGACTATCGTAACTATCTTTTTGCTGTGCTTGGGACAATGATAGTCGGTCGTGGGTGATTTGTTAAGCTGTATGTGCTCGAACAATGACGTCGCTGGCGTACGAAGTAGACAAGGGTCTGGTCGAAGGAAGGAGGGTCCCAAATGGTAACACTGGATGCCGATCAAATAGCAAATAGAATGGTGAATAACCCATTGTATCATGTCATGAAGAAGTATAAGCAACAGTGACAAATGGCAGTGCACTGTCCCAGTCACGGCGATCGGACGAAACGTACACTGACAGCATCTGAGTAAGCGTTCCATTGAGATGCTCGGTCAATCCATTCGTCTGGAGATGATAGGCTGTGGTAAGCTTGTGCTGAGTGGAGCAGGTACGGAGAATGTCGTCGACAATACATGAAAGGAACTACCTTCCTCGATCGGTAAGCAGCTGTCGAGGGGCGCCATGATGTAGAATGACGTCGTACAAGAGAAAGTCAGCGACGTCAGTGGCGCAACTCATTGGCAGTGCTCGAATGATGGTAAAGCGTTTGCTATAATCCGCGGCGACAACAACCCATTTATTACCCGAGGTGGACGCAGGAAAAGGGCCTAGCAGGTCAAGTCCAACACAGAAGAATGGCTCCACGGGTATGTTGATGGGGTGTAAGTGGCTAGAAGGCAGTACCAATGGGCGCTTTCGTCGTTGGCAGTGGTCACATGACGCGACGTAATGAACCACAGTACGGTACATGCCAGGCAGAAACAACGACGTCGCACTCGATCGTATGTACGAGAGACACCAAGGTGACCGACAGTGGGTGCATCATGAAGTTGTTCCAGGACACTGTTGCGTAAATAGTGGGGTGGCACAAAAAGTAGTTCCAGGCCATCAGCATTGAAGCTGCGACGATACAGGATGTTGTCATGCAGCTCGAACAGACGGGTCGGGTGAGGGGGATGTTAGACGGTCGATAATAGCCACTAACGATGGGTCCTGTCGCTGTTCACTGACGATGTCAAGCAAAGCGGAGATGGACAGCATGCAGGAGTCAGAGTCAAGGTCTTCTAGGTTGTGCTCTTCAACTGGATGACGTGACAAACAGTCTGCGTCTTTGTGAAGTCGCCCCGACTTGTAATGTACCTGAAACGAATATTCCTGAAGATGTAGTGCCCAGCGACCGAGACGTCCAGACGGGTCCTTTAGTGACGAGAGCCAGCAGAGAGCGCGATCGTCTGTGACTACGGAAAACGTTCGGCCATATAGGTAGGGCCTGAATTTAGTCACAGCCCACACTAGCGCTAGGCATTCACGCTCGGTGATGGAGAATTTCTGCTCGGCGGGCAAAAGGAGACGACTGGCATAAGCAATTACTTGATCCTTGCCGTGCTGTCGTTGACCGAGAACCGCCCCAATTTCGTGGCCACTGGCATGGGTCCGAAGCTCTGTATGCGAAGTAAGGTCAAAATGGGCCAGTATTGGCGGCGTAGTCAGCAGATGGATAAGGGTAGAAAAGGTGTCAGCTTGCTTGGCACGCCAAGTGAAAGGAGTGTCCTTTTTAACGAGATCAGTAAGAGGTCGGGTAATGTGAGCGAAGTTGTGGACGAAGCGACGAAAATAGGAACATAATCCTATAAAACTGCGGACGTCCTTGGTTGAGCACGGTACAGGGAATTCTCGCACTGCCCGCACCTTATCGAGGTCCGGTTGAACGCCGGCAGCACTTACAAGGTGACCGAAAATAGTTATTTTGCGCCGTCCAAAACAGCACTTTGCCGAATTCAGTTGAAGAGTGGCTCAGCGAAAAACATCCAGAACGGCAGACAGACATGTGAGATGGCTGTCAAACGTAGGGGAACAGACGATGACATTGTCTAGGTAATATAAACAGATGGACCACTTATATCCACGGAGGAGGGAGTCCATTATGCGTTCGAAAGTTGCCGGGGCATTGCAAAGTCCAAACGGCATGACCTTGAATTGGTAGAGACCATCAGGCGTCACAAAGGCAGTTTTTTAGCGGTCCATGGGGTCAACTAAAATTTGCTAATAACCGTACCGAAGGTCGATCGATGAAAAGTATTGTGCACTATGAAGGCAGTCGAGAGCGTCACCATCGATCCGTGGCAAAGAGTAGACGTCTTTAGGAGTTACTTTGTTTAAGTGGCGATAGTCAACACAAAAGCGCCAGCTTCCATCTTTTTTTTTTTTTTTCACGAGCACGACGGGGGCCTCCGGCATTGACTCTCCAACACAAAGAAATTACAGCTTCGATGTACGATTCTGTGGACGTTTGCGCCCGAGACGCAAGCATTTTGTTTGCAGACATCTTTCGTCCAATCGGCTTCTCGAACAAGTCCAACATTTTTTGCCTGCATGTTTCCCAGCTCCCAAGTTCTGCTTCATGGTGTCATACCGCACCATGGCAGTTCCCTTAAAGTAGAACAACAAGTTCGCCAGCATAAGAGTCGGACCCGATCTGTATCGAGTACTCACACGTTCGTACTCCGCCAGCCAATTCTCAACGTCCACTTCATCTGGATCGCCAGAACCGCTAATCCTGCCAGGATCCCGTGGGGATTCAAGCACGAAGGTTGTAGTCGCCAGAGCAGATGCAGTCGCCGCATCATCTCTAGCCACACGAACACCGGGGGCAGATGCAGACGCCGTATTTTCCGTCATAGTTGCAGAGTGTCCCTTCAAACGACGTCCGCTGCAAAGTTCCGTTGGAAGGCGTTTACCCAGCACCTCCACCAAGTGTGACGGAGGTGAGATCGATATTTATTGAAACAGCTGATCGTCAGCCAGATGATATGGCGGATGAGTACCACGCGGCAGCTCTACGTTTTCTCGTCTTCATCTTCGGCGACCACCACCCTGGTTCATGTCTATGTTACACCGTAACAATAATTTGCAGATGACATCTGCATTTTCATGGCATTCGATCCCACATTTTGGCCAATAAATTTTGTCAGCACCCATTTAAATGTTTTTAGCATATCTTGCACTTTAACATTTCTTTATTGCCATAGCAAATATACAAGATGCTTTTGAACTATAATCTGTTCCAGAAGTTCCATGCAGCAGAGCCAAGGCTACACGACCCTCGAACGCAGGTTGTTGGGAAGAGAGATGTATTGCCCCGTATACTTAGCCCATTGTTTGTCCTCGCGAATTTTGCAACCGGTAACGTCGGAGGATTTTTACTTGAAGGCTTCTCTGCATGTTGTAGCTGTGATTTGTATGACAATTTTGTCGCATTTTTTGTAGAAAATTTTTGTGACTCCATCATACTGAAGAAAAAGTCCTTGCATGTACGTGTTATAACATGCAAACGACAGAAATAACGCTGTTGTGGCTCATATGTATTATGCTTTTACTTATAAAGTACGAAGGAATGGTACGACACTGTCTAAACTTTTATGAGTAGTCCACACAGCCCGAGCGTCCGCAGCACCGAGGAGGAACCAGTCTTTGGTGGTGATTAGTCCGCGGTGGCAGATTTGGTCACTCCTGCCAAAATGGCGACGCCTGGTTCATCTATGCGATATCGTTCCCAGATCAACTTTTACGACAAGGGAGTGAAGCAGTTGGCTCTAAATGTGTTCGGGACACTGCGTAAGGAGGGCGGGAGAAATGCAAGCATGAATTCTCTCATTAAGAGAACGGCTGCGTTCACCAACGTCAGCGAGCGTGCACTGTACAAGTGGGTAGCGAAGCACGATAAGCACAGCGAGGCACCAGGAAATAGAGCCATCATTTCGTATCGAACGCGAGCGGCACTTCGCATGCCCATAGGCATGCGTATTCGAAATCTGATGAAGCTTGGTGCTTTTATATTCAATTGGGCTAGTGCGGCGCTTTCCACCGAAACATGAGCCACTGAACCCTATCCCTCAAATGTCTATGTGCAAGTATCTCAAAGACGCGCGCTTATGTCTATGTGCAAGTATCTCAAAGACGCGCGCTTTTACGGTGCCGAGGAGAATATTTAACCGCTTTCACAATTACAGCTCATCTCACTGCGCAGTTACACAGTGTCCCAAGACGCTCTTGCCGCTTTCGCTGCAGCGCACGTCGCTAGCAGGCGACAGGGCGTGGAAGGATATACTTGAATGTGCTTGCCCTCCTGATTGGTTGAGAAGACATGTAGCTTCCACAGTGCTGCACGGAACTTCTGGAACAGTGTATAGTTGATTCGTTTTCTAGCTTTTAGTAGAGGGGAGTTGCAACTTTTTTCACTCATTTTCATTATGTTTATAGACTGTGTTGCGGCTTGTAAATGTAAATGTAAAATTACTTAATCTGGACATTGCATAGCGTCTCTGCAGTCACATGACCCTGATGGCCCGTAACAATCCATGGCTGGTCTCTGTACGTAGCCCTTTTTTCACTGTCAGTCTTGAGGTCGGGAGCCACCTGCAAAACAAAATGAATTTTCACAGGTTTAACTTAGGCAAGGCTTATTAATAGAAGAGTTAATGGCAGGTGAATAATACTAAAATGGTGCCTTGGATTGCAACATGCACCACTGTCTTCTCAAGTGCACGCCGTTAGGCTGATTGCCTGAAAACAGCTGAAAGCATATTATTCACCAGTTCCTGTTCACAAGTCCATCACATTATGCATGTAAATGGCATTATGCAAGTAAATGGCCTAGAACACATCAACTTTACAAATAATACAGATATACTAATGCTTTAGCAGAAGCAACATGCTCGTCTCTCGTCTCGTGTCTGTACAACTAATGCTTTCATTCAGTGTATGCAAGATTCACGACACAAATAAGTTCATAAAAACAGATAATGATGTTATTAGGTAATGTAAATGTGATGAAAAAAAGTGAATGAAAAGATAGCTTGCCGCCGGCAGGAACCAGACCTGCAACCTTCGATTAACGCGTCCGATGCTCTACCAACTGAGCTACGGCGGCGGTCATAGGGTATATATGTGCATTTAAACGTGGGAGTGTAAGTGCGCGCCACCAGTAGCCATCACGGCGACTGTGGAACACCCCCCCCCCCCCTCTTTTTTTTTTTTTTTTTTTTTTCCTGTTGGCGTCAAGTGACCTTATTACGAGCAGGGCAGCTGACCAATAATCCCTCGCATGGCATCGAGTCCGCCAAAACAAGTTGAAGCATCGAACGCAAGCCTGGGCTGGATGCAATACCTGCTCAAAGATTTTCTTCTTGGGGTTAAGCTGCGCATCTGGCTGGCCTGGATAACCGTCGCAGACAACGCGATCCCCTGGCTGAGCACCTGGTGGAGGAGCCAAAATTTCAACTTTCTCCGGAGTGCTCGCGCACATGACCATGGCTTCCGACGTGACACCGCGCATCTTGGCAGGCTTCAGATTGCAGAGAAGCACAGCCATGCGGTTCTGCATCTTGTCGAGCGGCACAAACTTCACCAATCCCGAGACGACCGTGCGAGGCTTTTCCTCTCCTACGTCTACCTGTTCAACGTAGAGAGAGTCTGCATCGGGGTGCTTGACAGCGCTCACAATCCGTCCCACGCGCAAGTCAAGCCGGCTCACATCTACGGGCTTCGAGTCATCGTTGTCTTCGACCTTTTTCTTGGCATCCGCCTTCTTCGCCGGGGGTGCTTTTGAGTCCACAGCGGGTCCAGCACGTTTCTTGGGCTGATCGCCGGCACCAGCGTCACCAAGTTTCTGCGGAGCGGCTTGTGGCTTAGCGCTCTTTGCTTGAGCTGCCGGCTGCTCAGGTTTCGCTCGTTGTGCGGAAACTCCCACTGGCGCGATCCCGCAGCCAGCTTCGGCAGCCTCGAGGCGTTTTTTCCAAGTTTCGACGTCTCGCCTGAGCTGTTCGTTTTCGCTTCGTAAGCGGGCGCATTCGGCTTGAACATATCGCTCTGTTCTGGCAGCACGCAAAGATTGCAGCTGAGCAGTAAGCGCCGCAAGCAACTCGTCCGCTTGCTTGGCCCTACACATTACCCGCGCTAGAGCGTTATCAACCACCATCTTGAAGACCTGCAGGCACGAGCAATGAACAAGCGACAGTCCGCCACGAAGTAAGCTCGTACAGACTCAACTCGCAGCAAAAATCACCGGCACTACACCACGCCAGACCACGCTCAGCCGCGCCTTTTTTAGACTGCTAGCGTGGAAGCGGAAGGAACCGGCACACGCACGATCTGATTAGGCCAGTAGTAGTAGTGCTCGTGTAATAGAGTTGAATCTTTACAACTTTGTTCGGTATTTTAATCAAAATATTTAAAACTGATATTTTTGGTTATTGATAATTTTAAAATACAAGAAAAACAAAATAATCACCGCAGCATTGGACAAATCGTTATCGTAAGCAGCACACTCGATCCCAAAAATGGCAGACGCCGGCGAAAAGTTGAGCAAAAAGTGAGTAACTTTTGAAAGCTTTTCAAGTTTTTCGGGCAGTTATTAGGCGGCTTTTTGTCGCCACAATAAATGAATTGATTATGCCCGCCATTTTCTAACTGTATTGTTCAGCTTGCCTTGAATACCGGTGGTAATAGTTAGAGCAATCTTTCCACGTGCACGATGTGATCGCCACGCTCCCTTTTTCTTGCAAATAGACAAAGTGCTGATGATGGCGCTACCCTTGAGAGAGGATTGCATTACTGTAGCGACTACACCAACCCTGCTAAGCTGTAATCGTGGCAGTCCACTATTATCGAGCTTTTGTTGAATGAAGCGGCCGATGTCATTTCATTTTTTATTGCGTGTTACCCCCGACAAGCGATCGGAAGCTCTGCTGACAAAGCAGCATGCCAAAACGCGCAGCTGTGAAATTGTATGTGTGATATTGCTCGTGGTTCACCGCTTGTTTGCTGGTATTAGGTGATATTGTGTCGTTGGAAATGCCAAGCTATCGTTTTGTGCGCCTGGGGTGTTTTGCTTTACCGTATGATGGGCTGGTCCACACAGCCTGTTCACTGAGGCAGAGGTAGCAGCTGTTTACTTTGATACTTCATTATCTTGTTTGCTTTGATTACTTGATCGAATTGGTGCAAAATAATATATATATGAAAAAAGTGTATACTTAAGAGCTCGTTTTTTCGTGTTTTTGACACAATAATAATGAGATCTAATAGATAATAATGCCAAGCAAAGCATAGGGGAAGTTATTAGACCGAATTTTATTGTAAATGTGAAAAAAAAAGTGGGTGAAAAGGTAATAAATTATCTTTTCACCCACTTTTCTTTCTTCACATTTAATATTGTGTAATATTGTGTCAAAAACACAAACAAATGAGCCCTTAAGTATACACTTCTTTTCCTTATATATATATATATATATATATATATATATATATATATATATATATATATATATATATATATTGTAAGATGTATAAATAATGCTCACAGTATATATAGTTATGTTACGCACATGTGTACCTAAAAATGTGATCGGAAAAAGAAAATGCCGTGGTCCTTCAATAGCTGAAGACATCCCACACGTTATAATCGTGGGTCTGGATCCCACTGGTGGCATGTTCTTTAGTGCAGCCGGGGCTACGCAGGGAAGGAGGCAAGGCAGCACGCTTCCTCGGTTCAGCTTGGTCGCGCTAAAAATTGTTAAATTATGAATGTACGCCATCAGTCCTAGCATCTCATTCATTAAGTTATTTTTCAGTTTCCCTTCGGTATTTCCATGTGTCGGTTGAATAAAAGAAGTATATCACCTTGTGCATTTGATGTTCTGTGTTAATGTATGCGGACTGAAAAGTTTAGCATGCCTTTAGGGTCTGATGTCATTCAACTGATGATTTCTAAAGTTAAAATTAGCAAGTTTGTGTTTTATCTCGTTTGTCGTGGTCACGCGAGTTTAGCCACAAATTATGGCAGCTTCATTGCAGAGGGCTATACCACCAGCATTGTAAATGTGATTGAGTAGTTCATCATTGAACTGTCATGTCACACTTTGTGTTTGGTCAGATACCGATGATCAAATTCTTGTGTTTGAGATGTTCCGTGCTTTCTGAAATCCAGAAGGTTTTGTTATGGGGGCCAATATCTAAGCAGCTAAGGTGTTGCAGCTCTATCCTGTTTTTATTATTTGTTATCTGCACAGAGGTATCAGTAAAGTATACTGAAGTCAAGAAGTGCATTTCACTAGCCTGTGAAGAATAGCCTTGAGAGGCCCATATTATAGCTTTCAGCAGCCAGACAAGATGGATTCAACTACCACGCAGCTATGACTAAACAAAACATTACAGAGGAAAATCATATAAATTAAAATCTTCAAATATATAACCATAGTCTTGAAGGAGAGTAGAAAAAGAGTGTAGTGGCCAGAGCATGGCACTGTGTATAAGTCCGTGCATGTTGTTGCAATAGAGTACCAATATTATATGGACGAAAACAACCAAACAAGTGGAGAGTCACTGTAAAATCGTGAAGAAATATGGAACTCTTGAGACCAAGCATTAGTTCCTGTTATCTGAAGGTGAAGCACTTGCTCTGAGCATCATGGCAATCAACTGCCATTGCTCCTCCCAGTTGAGAAAGCAAGCATAGAGGGTTAAACTAAGTTGATAAGATTAGGACATCAGCACTAGTGTGTCTAGTGAGCAGATGCTTTCATTGTCTAATGATAATTTTGGGGGTTTTTCACAAAACCACCGTATAATCATGAAAGACGTCGTAGTGGAGAAGTTTGGAAATTTCAACCACTGGGGGTTTTCTAACGTGCACCTAAATTTAAGCACACGGGCCTCAAGCATTTTTGCCTGCATTGCTTTCATTGTCTGAAAGAACGGTTGCATCCAAAGTAGTGTCGCTGCTTCCAGAACATGATAAGCAACTATTCTTTAAAGGCACACTCACCAGGTTTCACAATTTTGAGCTGAGAAGCGCAATGCAGACGTTCATGATCACGTCTGCCAAAATTGGCAACGCTATGCGCCGCGGAAATGGGTCAAATTTCAAAATAAACGCTGGTCCCCCTTCTTTTTGCAGGCACGCGCCCAGAGAATGAGGGCATGACGTGTGCGTATGAATGGCCCTACCTACATGGCAATGCAGTGACGTTGGTCCTCTAAATATACGACTATGCTCTGACGTTGCCAACAGTGGCACGTGACATGGCAAAAATTATTTAGCACGACATGCATAGTTTATGTATTTTCTGCTTGAAGAGATTAATGAATCTCTAGATAAATAATGAGACGCAGTAAGACAATGTTAGTGTCCTTTTTTTTTTCCCGCAAATTGCAACGAGATGCGGGGCTAATGTGCCGGCGTCTCACATGTGTTCGTGTTTTGGGGGTCAGCGCATCGAGCAGACGACAGCCCTGAAACGCTTCTACGCGTTTGCGATAGATGAGCACTCATTGTGCTCATCTATTTCAGCGCCTCTTCTCTCTATTCTACCGCGTCTAAACCAGTGTTTCCAGTAACATGCAGTAGACCTCAAAACAGCACTTATCAAAAAAAAAAAAAAAAAAAACGCCACTCAAGTGCACGAGGGTTGGGCTTGTTCGGGCACGTCATGAACACGCGACCTCTTCTTGATTGGATGCCAGAGAGGGTAGGGAAGAGATTTGGCTTGCGAAGGCTACGCAGAGGAGCAGCAAGGGTTTCGAGCTCGCCTCCTCTCATCCTCGTTTTGTGCCGATTCAAAAACTTTTAGGGGCAAAATGTTCCTCATTGGACACCCAACCACATTTACGGTCTAACTAAAATTTGCTATGGGGCCTGGTGAGGGGCCCTCTAATGATGACATAAAACAGCTACATGTGCAATACTGTCTAGTAATAGTATTCAACAGTACATAAATTTCCTGCATGATGTTTGCTGTACAAGAAGCTTACTTTTTCATATCTGATTGATGGAAAAAAAATTTACCTGAAGTTGGTGCTTGTTCTATATGCATTAAAAAAATATTCACCATTTGCCATTAGCTTTCATTACTTGAATTCACTTTGCAGTTGAAAATTTCATATCTAAATGTTATAAAACTAGTTTTCATAATTTACTCAATGCTGTGCATTATTAAATAATGTTGGCCTCTTTGTAAGACCACTCTTCAAATTATGGTTGTGAGTGTTCACTCAGTGTGAGATTCGAGCTGCCTGGAAGAGCTATTTGATGTATATTTATAAGCAGTAAGAGCATAGGGCTGATGGTGTCTAAATTATGCATCAAATAATTATTTTTATAAAGTAAAATGAAAGCATCAAACCTTCAATAAAATCCAAAGTAGAAGTTGAACCTTGCCGACAGTTTTAAGTGGTGGAGGTGAGAAGCCGACACAAATGCTATCACAATACTGTTCACCAATACCTGTTACTTGTGTGTGTTAAAAGAAGTTATAGGTAAAATAATTAAAGTTGTTTTAAATAATCTGTGTATATTGTCCTTATTTATGAAATGGAACACGCGAGCCTGCGCTGTGCGACAGCTGCATGCAGTACCATCAACCAACAGCTAAAAAAACCAAGTCCGCTTTTGGTGTCATTTGCTAGCAAATAAAATAACAAGTCATGGCCGTTGGACAAGCAATTGCTAGATTACGCTTGTGCTCCGGTCTTGCAATGAGTCATACATTCAAAAGCAGACATGCTTTCCTTAGCTGTGGGTTTACGGCACTGTAGGCAACCGTGGCAGAGTGTAGGCAAGGTGCTCACGTATTCCCTTTCATGAAAATGAACAGTGTATACATATATGCTTGCTCAATGCTTTACACCTGAGCATTGTTTTACAAGTGCACTGCAAAGTCGTGTGTAATGTGAAAAGTCGATTGCATTAAAAACTTTCACAATAACTATTTTAAAGCATGTGTTTACCCTTCGTTTTGAGTGCATTGTCCTATATACAGTTTGCATATCAGTGAAAGTGGCATAGCCACTTACATGAATGTCCCTAGTATGTTCCTGTATACTGGTGCTCAATATAACGAGTGTGTAACGAATAATGTTGTGCTGTGACTGAAATGCTGGTTAGCAGTCTTGACAAAAGCGATTCCTTCTTCAATGCTTATGTGTAGTAAGCTTTTATTTTTAAGAAGTCATTATTTATCAACATTTATACTATTGTTGATTTTGTATAAGGTTCTTCTTTTCCCTCTTTTTTAAGTTGATAAAAGTATTACAAAAAAAAAGTGCCCTGGCTGTCTGTTTTATAGATAGCTTGCACGTGACGTCATGGTCTCATTCATAACATAGTGGTTCAACATTAAGGGCTCGCTAACGTAGAAGCAACATAATCATATCGCACTTGACCTGCTTCAATATGGCAACAGTGGGGC